CCTCCGTCACACAAATGGTGAAATTAGTTCAATATCGCAATGAATCGTCATAAATCTGTCACAAAAACGCATCTTTATTCACATGCAATTATTTTAGACAATATATTTACTATGTGCCACATGTGTATTACTTATGTATGAGAAGAAAAACGACAGCTCCAGCCAGCAGTGTACATTTTGTGCAGCAGTCATTGTTTGTGCACGAAAAATAAAATGCCTACATGAACATTTTGGCAGGTCGAAATTAGCTCGGATAAAAACAGAAATATTACAAACTTACAAATCCACCAATTTCTTCAAAGAATTTTATAGCAGCTGGTGCACAGAAATAAGCAGATGAATCACGTGTGCCCTGATTAAAGAACTGATTGAACAAACTTTGCTGATAATTGTGACCTGTAATCAGTGGTTTGATAGACTTGTAGTGTTTTGGATGTATCCATAGTATTGCACTCCCTCGGACACCGAACATCCACTTATGCAAATTACCTGGTATATAAATAAATTAAAGATCAGCAAAGAAGTACTACTTTATAGGAAATCACATAGTTATACTATATATATATCAACAAGTAGATTACTTTTCCCATGTTAGGCTATGTGTAGAATATATGATGTTGCTGGGTAATATAAATAAAATAGTTGACTCACCAATGTAATAGTCAGCACCAAGCTCTCCCAGATTAAATTGTAGTTGCCCAATTGCTTGTGCCCCATCTATTACCACCTGTACATCTTTACTTTTGCAAACCTCAATGAGTTCTTTTATTGGCATTACCATGGCGGATGAACTAGTGATGTGATCAACGACTGCCACCTTGACTGACGGATTGTCCTCCAGGACATCGCTATATTGCTGTATAATTTCTTCTTTGCTGCGAATCGGTAATTTGATCTCTAATTTAACGACAGTGGTTTCTGAAATGAGGAGTATGTATACATTTACAAAAGTGGGTTAACGTTTTAATTTGGGATTGTTAGCTTGTACACAAATATTCTTTATATCATGTTATCCGTATTCTAGCATAACTGTGTTTTATATATTTGGACAAAA